ACAAGGGCTGCCTGTTGGAAACACGATACGATGGACAAGGCACACGATACAATAAACAAGGTCCCAGCAAAACAGTGCATACGACCGCCAAGCCTTCTCACAGCCAAGTTCAACAGTCGCAAGAGGCGATTCTGATGGTTTTGCTGCAAAGCCGATGACGATGATGCTTTGTCTGTCGAAGGGGGTGAAGTACTCGAGTTCGTAAGCCTCCGTGTAGGGAGTTGATAACGCAGAGGAAATTGTAAAACTGATTGATTGGCGTTATCTACATCTACATGCATGACTACTGTGACTATACTATATCTAATGCTATATATACGTGCGCTCTGCAGAAGGAACTTCTGGTGTCCATGGCCGAGCACGCCGCACGCCAATCGAGCTTGGTCCTAAACTGACGTCAACAGTGACGTCTGTTCTGATTGGTCGATAACCCTATGACGCCACTGGAGTGACGTCGTTACACTCCGAATGGAGAAGAAGGTGGACAGGTGCATGATATGCTTGTCGATGAAGTTTACAGGGCTCGTGATCCCGAAGAGTTGGCTGGAGAAGTGTCTCGGTCGCCCACTGGTTGTTGTAAGCCAGGTTTGGTTTGATCAAGATGAGTTCAAACGCTTGAACCACAGCAGAAAGCACGGGATGACCATACCACAGTGTGACGCTGAACCAAGCGTCGGTTTAGCACCCGACTTTGGATTTGGCGAGGACGTTATCGACGAAACAGAGGCACGGGGACAAGACACTCTGTAACAACACAATCACAGAGTACTACACCACCTGGATAGGCTCGACCAGCGTTCACATAATTTTATACGCTTGTTTGCTTTGACAAAGCATCACAATATGTTGAACACGATGAACACGTGGTCAAACCAGTCGGTGGCCACGTGTACGAAGGTGATGCACGAAGAGTTGGGTTGGGCGACGTATGATTCCAGGAACTATAGGGGCTGTAGAGGCGTCGGCACTGAGGTGGCTGGCATTGGATTGCATACATTTCGGACCACGAGCGCACCAACACACATGCATGAGCGAAATCACTGTGTACAGTAACGCGCTGCTGCAACTTTAGGCTGGTATAGTTTTGCGCTGACGATAGCAGGTCCGGTGAACAATGATCACCTACATGGCGAGATACACTCACCGGGGAAGCGACGTGCCAACGACGGCGCGGAAACAGATTAACGTTATTGTGTGGCTTGTCATGGGGCAGCTTTGGAACAACGACTTTGACCCCTTCGGGATCACATTCTGCTTGGTGGGCATCGTTTGATGACCTCGACGGAACTTGCACTATTTTATCTCGCTGGAATTCGTGAAAATCCCAGTAAATAATGTTTTGAATATTTTCCGAAACGGTTTCACATGAGTCACTGGCAGTTACGAATGACGGTGTACAACTAAACTGTACAGTAGGGGTTTTGAACGCAGGTCTTATGCCGTAACAGGGGTGAAAGAGTAGGAAGTTGTAAGAGTTTACAAGTGAAAATTATATGCGGCTAAACAAGCTTAAAATTTGGAGGCCAGTGATCCACCAGCCTGGGTACTGTAATACAGCGTATTTTCCGTTTACTGTTAATAGAATCTTGATTGACCGTTGCGTGTCGCTAGGTCGTGTCTGTGAATACATGTCCCGCACCCCGCACTGTCAACGTTCCGTCGACCAGCACAGCAACCACAACGGTGGTTAGACTCACAATTCAAACTGACTGGTATTAAATCTTATACTAACCAGTCGTCGATGCCGGCCACGCGTCGAAATCAGACGGCCCACGCCCTCCTATCTAGGTGCGGTTTCACCTTGGTCAATTCCAAGGGCATACGACGCACTTCTACGTATGAGGCAGAACACTCCCCCCTTACAGAGGATGGCCCAAGGTCACCTCTAAGTCGTCGCACATTGCCTTGATGACGCCGTCGCTGGCGTTCTTCACAATACAGCGGCGCAGGACGACGGCAATGTCTTCATAGAGTTGGAGGGCTGGCTCCCATGAACTTTCTTCTTCGTCCAGGCCCTTCTACATGACGCGCACTTCGAAATTTCCTTCGGCGCTACGGCGAGCGCCCAAACGTTCTTGGACGAAGAACCCTTCATCGCCAAACTCGGCATAGTCCACCAGGGCATGGGTAACGTCTAATGCGACATCGCTTAAAAACTTCAGTCGGCTGGCATGGTGGACCGATGTCGCGAATGGTCCCACAAGATGTTGGACCTTCATCATATAGTCAGATTCGACTCAACAGATGCCGTAGGGACCTTTCCAGTTTAGTGCCAAATTGTGGGAACTTGATGATTTTCTACACAAGAACAAAATCGCCCAGTGCAAACTTGGCCAAGTGCACATGCGCTTTCTTCTCGCGGTAGTCTCGCACCTGCTGCTGCAACTTCTCGTTTCAAACCGCTACATCGCGGTGCATATTGTCCATGGCTCATCATAGCGGCGTCCATGTGCTTCTGACGCGCCTTCAAGAGCACCGTGAGTACTTCCTTGGTCCTTGGGTGTACGAACCCAGCTAAAGTTGTTGTAGACGGCAAGCCTTGAAATGCCGTCACTAGAGCCACATCGCCGAGGTGGTCCGCCGGCTGGTGGTTCAGCGCGCTCTGTACCAGGGCCAACAACTGTGCCATTCGTCCGGACGAAGCTTCGTTTCACTGGTCAGGGTCATCAACCCTCGTAGGATAAGTCCTTTAACGACTTCCACCATGCCGTTCGCCCACGGCGTGTACTACGCTGTGATGTGGTGATGGGCACGGATCATCCTCTTGATCTTGAAATGGGTTCCACTGTCGGAAACTCATGTCGACACAGTGCCATGTGTCGCAAACAAATCCATCAGAGCGTTCGCCATGATTTCCGCGTCGGCCGTTGCCGAAGGGAACAGACGACAAAACCAGCACGTACTTCCAGCCATTGACGGCTGGCAGCAGCTGTAGCCAGTTGAAGTGGATGAGCTCATTTGGGCAAGAGCGTACTGTCGACACACAGGCGGTGAAAGCAACTGCCCACAAAGGTCTTCAGGTCTTCCTTTGTAGTTCACCACTCAAACTGCTCGAGTACGCCTTGGGTTGTCGCGTCCACTCCGCGGCGACCGGCCGCGCCTTGTTGCTGCAGCTCCTCGGCGACCTCGGGAATCCAAATCTTCCCAGCGACAGTCACGTAATACCCGTCGCTGGCGCTCCTTGTCACATTGGGGACGTCTTTATCGGCAGCTTTCCAGGCTGCCTTCTGTATTCCCAGTATTTTCGCCGGCGTCGGCCAGGCAAAATTCTTGTCTTGTAGGAGCGAGACAACAACCAGTTGTTGCACTCTCGCCACTGTCGCAGGTAATGAAGCGGCACCCCATTGGCTGAGCAGGTCCGCCCATACGTTCGCTTCCCCCGCCACATGCTGGACGGTGTAGGGTAAGGTCGTCATCACCATAGCCCACCTTTGGAGCTTGCGGGCTTGGTACCGAGCCATCTTGCTGTTGTAACCCAGGGTTGTAACCCAGCGGGTTAATGATGTATAGCAAATTGCGATGGTCAGTCAACAGTCTGAATCCCTGCTGCCGGAGCAGCAGGTACCCCAGTCATTTGCACGACTCGACGATCGCAAATCGCAAACGCTTCTTTCTCCACCGTCAGCCATCGAGCACTTGCACCGTCAAACCCACAACTCAAAAACGCCAACGGCTTTTTGAGTTGTGGGTTTGACGGTGCAAGTGTCGTTGTTGATCCACGGGCAACTCCAGTTCTTCAGACGGGATCTGCGTGCAGGCGGCACCCCAATGCGTGTCCCTGGCATCGGTGTATAGGCAAATGATCTTGTCTGCAGATGGATGCGACAGCGGCACCATTTGCCGCAACGTGTCCTTGACCGCTACAAAACACGCATCGTGTTCGGACGCCCACCCGACGGTAGCCAACTTGATTCGCGCCAGCGCCGTCTTCTTCAACCCACCAACGGCCTTCGCCGCCACGTCCAACAGGCCCCGCAGCGCATCAATCAGTTCCGAGTAGCTGGAGATGGAGCGGCGCATCCAATTTGTCGCGCATACAAATTGTTGCAGATCGGCGCCAGACGTTGGCGTCTCCAGTGCACACAGGCCATGAACTCGATCAGGGGAATGGGTGATCCCTTCGGCAGAAATCACTTTCCCGCACCACGTTGCTTTCTTCAAGAAGAAATCGCACTTCTTCGGATGCAGCTTGAGGTGGAACTTGCCGCAGATGGACAGCACCTTTCCAACAACAAAAATAGCTTGTCCGAGCTGACTGCGTACCCCAGCAGGTCGTCCAGCGCGAACCCAGCACCCCGGCGTACAACAGTCCGCCGAACATTTCGTTCACCACGGACTGGTAATAGGCCATGGCGTCCGCCTGTCCCGTGAGGATTATAGTTAGCGTGTAGACACCGAACGGTGTCAAGAACGAGTACCACATCTGGCAGGTTGGGTGCACTGGCAACTGCCAATACCCCTACAGCCAGTCCAACGCGAAAAACACTTTCATGCCGACCAACGTCACCATCGCGGCGTCCAAGTTTGGCATCGGCGAGGGCATGGGGATCGTCCATGCGTTGATCGGGCGAGAGGTGATAGTCATTCGATATTCGCCCGGGGCTTTCTTGGTGACAGTACGCGGCGCTGCCACCCATGTGGGCCTGCGGGTACCGGCGCAAAGCGCACTTTATGGGCACTGCTTCTTCCTTCAGCGGTACTTTCAACGGCTCAACATCCACCGGCAAGTCTTGCCCAAATTCCAGACGAAAGACATCGCCGAGATCACCCAAAATACGCTGGAGTTCGCCTTCCTGCGCAGGGGAGAGGCCAAGGTGGGTGGCCTCGGCAATCATGCCGTCGAGAATGTGCTTGATCTCGCCGTCTTGGTCGACAGGCTTCTCCATTGTTGGAGTGGAACACGCCACGTCCTCGGCGTACAATGCGTCTTCAGGGTCTTCCTGATACGCTTCTAGCAGCCAGTTCACATTCGCCGACGTCTGGTCGGCTTCTCCCGCTTCGGCCATATCCCAGACTCGACGCAGATGAAAACGGTACGCTCGCTGCCATTGCCGGTGCAGCAGAAGCTGTCATGCTTGGGCCACTGCCATGCGATCCCAACCCGATCCGGTCAATGGCCTGAGGTTGGGTTCTTCGTGGACAGCCGAAGGCCCACGCCGACGTCCGCGACCGTCATAACCTTGTGGAGTCTGCCGCACTGGGTCATCTTCGCTCTCCGGCAAACGCGACTTCCGGATTGACGGCTCAGCTTGGGTATCACTCATTCTACAGTCGATACGATGCTCTAAAGAATTCTTTGTTCCGTACCCCGCACTACCGACGTACCGTCGACCAGCACAGCAACCACAACGGGTTTCCACTTTTCGGCGCATGCGCTTTCGGCGCATCCGGATAAAACATCCGGATATGGGTTTCGGGGTGAGTTTGTAGTACCGGTACAAACAACTAACTATTACTACGTAGTAATAGTAAGTACATAACATACTACTAGTACGTAGTACTTCATATAGTATGTATAGTATAAACTTGTGGTCCTCACACGTCGTTCAGTGGTGCTCACGAGACTATAAAGCTTACTAGCTATAGTATTATGGTACTAGTACTTCCACATCATTCACTTTGTCACGAGGTTCTAAGGCTCAGTAGTTTGAATCTAGCGTGAAGGTGCTGCCATGTGATCTACGATGCACGGGCGTCATGGTGATGTTGTGGAGAGACTCTGAAGCTTAGTAGTTAGATTGTAATGTTCGGGTGGTGCTGCCACGTCATCAACGATGTACGAGCATCATGGTGGTGGTGTCGACATACTCTGACGCTTATTAGTTAGTTTGTGGTGTTGTTGTACTGCCACGTCATCTACGTTGAACGGGCGTCATGGGGGTGGTGTTACGACTCACTAAAGTGTCGTTCTTCACATGCAGTATTATGGTGTTGCGTTTTGGAGACTAATGCTATCGCATGATTGGTTAATAATTAGTGGTTGATTTGATGTCGACACCACATTTCCCATAGCCGT